GCAAAATTAACCAAAATACCCCCGAAATTTTTCGAGGATATTTTAGTCAATTTTTTTCATGTAAATATTTTTTTTTATAATTTTCAAAGATTTTTCTATTTTTGATGAATACATGCTCCAAATTTCAGGTCATTCCGATTTGTAGAAAAAAATTAAAAAATGAAATACTATCGGACAATCGTGACCGCGCGATGAACTTTAGACGATGATGGGGGTTGGCAAAATCACTGTTCATTTTCGCCTATAGGCGTTGCATAGTATTTTCCTATAGGCGTTACATAGTATATATATATATATACACTGAAGTATTCCCCTAATAAGGCACCGAAGCAAATCTGAGAACACTGTTTGAAATATCTAACTGATCCACGATTAGGTTTGTCCAATATTTGGGCCATCGGACAGCCATAGAGTTCAAAAAAATAAAAATAAAAACTAGTTTGATGTAGCTAATATCAGACAAGATGGGCAAAACACGAACAAATAATAATTTAAAAAATAAAATGAGAGTAGGATCTTGATGTAAATTTGGGAAAAATATAGAAACATTCATAATACCACAAAATATGAGTCAGGTTTTTGCGTAAATTTTCTCTTTTTTAGTAATTTGTTGAGTAGACATTTTCGTTTGCTGGAAATTTTCTCTTTTTTAGTAATTTGTTGAGTAGATATTTTCGTTTGCCGGAGGTACATCAACTCTCTGAAATTTAAGCAGGCAGCATCCTCTACATTTACTCCCTCGTATTGAATACTAACTTGGGAAGATATTTTACATTCGAAATTTTGGAAACCACCTATCAATAGATGGTTATATTGAAAAGAAAAAGTTTGTATTTTAAGTTTTCCAACATTTAAGATCTCACCACTGAGGCATTACTTTTTTTTTCAACTCATAGATGATGTATTTTTAAGTTTTCTAACACTTATAAATCTCTTAACTTGAAATTTTGAATTTCGTTCGCACAACAAACCAAGCCATCTTTTGCACCATTTGCGCTTACCTTACCTAAAGATGAGTTCGGTATTTTATTTATATTTTTTTGGTAATTCAGTGGCGATGATGAGACTTTACCTGATTTTTAAATTATCAGTAGTTTTTAAATGCGTTAGGTAATAATAAATTCGGTATTTTGTTACTTATTATGTATGGGTTGGGATCACGGTGCTGCCACCACTTATGCCCCTTACTAAAGTTTATGCTTCCATTCTCACTTGACGCATTAAAAAATCTTGAAAGATTTCAAAAAAAGATAAGGACTGGTTATCTTCATTGAATTACCAAAAGAAAGCCAAAAACTTGCATTTCTAGAGGATTTAAAATTAAAACCGGTGTTTTAAAAACTTCGCGATTAGGATAACAGTTGCTTAATTTGAATCGTGTTGCTGACAGGGTGATCTGAGTAATGTCGCGATCCCTGTACTATTGTATAAAAATTTGTCTAACTAGACATATAATACTAATCAAATTTCAAAGTGTCCAAGTAATAGGGCCAGTTTGTATCGTGCCTGGATCACTGATGGCATAGACCGCCTAAAAACTAGGAGATCCACAAATAAAAAAATAAAAAATCACGTAACCCGAGGGAATTGGAGCCAAATCAACACCTTAGTAGATAAACAAGTTTTTAAGTTCCAACCGAACACATGGTTGGAGGCTTAAGTCCAGGGCAATTTACCCAATTTCCTCAACCAAATCTGCAAAATTATCCAGTCCTATAGTCTTAAAAAGAATGATCGTCATATAAAACCACTTTAAAATATATCTATATACCTCTTTCTTCTTTTATTTCTTCTATCGTTTTTTATAAAAGGTGTATGAATAGCAGTCCATGCAGTGGAGTGGAGTAGAAATGCACGAACTGCACCGCAGTAACGTTAGGAAGACTCACACCGCGATGGTTATGGCAAGAAGGCCTGCTTACAACATTCAGTCTAGTTATATAGATGGGTAGTTTCATAGACCTTATGTGTACGCCACAGGCTCCACACTCAGTATAGTAAATTATATTTTTTTTTGTTGTTATTCAGTATAACTGATTTTTACTAACGTGGATCAATATTCACTGGTGTAAATTCAAATTAAAACCTTAAATACAACCTAAGGCCGCTGCTTCTATTGTTGAAACAAATAAACACCATCCGGAAGTAATAATCAATCTTCTATTATAATTTCAAATACAAAATAAGTTCTAAAAAATTCACAGAGAAATATAAAATATAA